TTTCTTTGAAGCACGAAAGTGTTTCATTTCTAGGATGTCCCGTTTATCTCTCTTTGTTCTGTCGCTTGTGCTTTTGGCGTCCTTATCTAAGAAACCATCGCCTGACCCAAGAGCGTGAAGATCTACCTCTCTGTTTCCTTCTACGAGTTTTATAGTTAACACTTTTACATTTAGGTCTGTGATCCATTTTGAGTGAATTTTGTTCTTACAAATGGCTAGCCAGTTGTCCTCAGTGCTGTTTCCCGAATCATTTTTCCTTTCCTGGCAATTAAAATGGCACTTGCCGGACTGACAACGAGTTGTCCCCAGTGTCCATTCTCCCACCCCTGGTAGTAAAAGAATACAAATTTTAGCTAGGCACATAGCCATGCAGCTGGAGATATATTTCCCAGCCCCTCCTTTGCTGTAGCAGAAGTGATATATGCAACCCCAAGATCATGTTTTCTTTTCTTTTTAATGTTTTATTTATTTATTCATGAGAATACACAGAGAGGAGAGAGAAAGAGAGAGGCAGAGACACAGGCAGAGGGAGAAGCAGGCTCCATGCAGGGAGCCCGACATGGGACTCAATCCCTGGACTCCAGGATCAGGCCCTGGGCCAAAGGTGGCACTAAACCGCTGAGCCACCCAGGCTTCCCAAGATCATGTTTTCATAAGGATATTTTTCCCTCCACTAAATTTTTCCTACCTTCCCAGAGTCTCAAATGTAGACTTAGGCTTGTGAGACAGCTTTGGCCACATGGATGTGGACATCCTCCTGGGGGTCGCAGAACAATAAGCTATGACTGAGTTTCTGGATGATCTCATGGAACAGGGCTACCTACCAACACTATATGGACCACCCATTCATATCCGGGCTATTAGGAGTTAGAAGGAAAAAAATCTGTATCCATTTGAACTACTTTATATTTAGGTCTCTTGTTATGGCAATACCTTTAGTACATGCTATATGTCTATATAGACAAGGTTTTCCTTAAATTCTCAGTCTATTTTATTGATCTATTCTTATACCCAAACCACAGCTTCGATTTCTGTAGTTTTTATAATATGTTTAAATGAGGGTATGAGGGGAGAAGAGTAAGTCTCACTCACAGTTTCTAAAGCATTTCTTGGCTCTTCTCCTGCATTCAATCTGCCCAATGAATTCAGACTAATTTTGTCAACTTACACCACCTCCTCCTCCCCACCTCCAAAGCCACTGGGTGCTTTCCAATCAGAAGTCGTTTCTTGGTCGTTGAGAGTTTGTTCAGTCTTCTAAAGTTATATGTTCTAATGCCAGCTTAGGCACGATCAAGGTGCATTTGGGCTCCCATTGCTTAATATGGGCAGGAGCCAGTGTCCAGAAGTCAGCCCAATGTTGAAATACACCCCCTCCACCATGACTGGTGAGCCAGTCTTATGAGCATTAAGTAAGGAGGTGAGCTGTGGTTATTGCTCCCAAGGAGCCCTGACATGATGGAGTGAGTAGGGCAGATGTACTTGAACAGCGCGTAGCACAAACCAGAGAAGCAAAGTCTTCACTGGGAGTCAAGGCTGCCCACAGCTGTAGGTCTGTGTCACAGGGAGAATCGGGAAGAGAAGCAGAAGGAGGTGGCATTGCTTCACACTGTGAACTATTTCCCCTGACCATGCGGTGTTATACACAAGGGGGCATGGGGTTACCACGGGGGCTGTTAACTGAGTCGCTTCATATTTCCAGTGGTTAGAAATACATCACTTTTGGAGGATCCTTAATTCCGTAATATACAGAGTAAGTGCCATCTATTATAATGTATTCTTTTTCTCCCCGTTGCTAGAGTCGAGCAGAAAGTAGTTTTTCTACCAGAATATGCAATTGGCCTACCACTTCATTGAACCAATTTAGGACGCTCAATTTCCTTTGGTAAAATTGATTTTCACTCCATATTCACATCAAGGGCCCTCCACTTTTTGAATCTGTGATGGCAGCGTGGTGGAGAGTATGAACAACTAGAAGTCAAGAGAGCCAGTCGCTGACCAGCTCCTCCATTTCACACGCTCACATCAGCTTCATTTTTGGAAAGTATTTTAAAGGAATTATCTAAAGTAGCTTAGTTTTATGACTTTAGGTTTAAAATGTCCCTCAATTTCACAGCATTAACAGATAAAAATGACAAAAAAAAAAAAACAACAAAAAACCCCACCCCAAACCCACGCAATTAAAAGGCCCTTAAGTATCAAGTCTCTTTGGACTATCTGTATGTGTAAAGCACAGCATCCTGCAGATTATCCCACCTGGGCTTCATTTCCAGACTGTTCTTTGGCTTTTTTTCAAAATGGCTCCTTCATATGCTTTTAATTTCACTGATAATAGAAATAAAAAACACATATATATTTGTATAGAGATACATATACATTTGTATATGTATATGAAACATATCTTTTATATATATGCATATACATATATATATTTTAGGAGGATGATCAGTTGCATACTGTTCAGGTTACAAAGTACAGATGGAGTTAATTTGTGTAAATTCAAAGTGTTGCTCTGAATCATCTGAGTTACCAAATTCTCATGGGCCACACCCAGCACGTCTCGTGGGGATCTACTGACACAATTTCTCCCTTGTTGATGAAGAGTGTCCATGCAGGGACAAAAGGAAGGGCACATGATCTAAGACTATGGGACAGAAGGAAGGAGAATGCAGTACCGACCCCTCATCTGTCACTGTCCACTCTGTCTCAGGGAGAGGATATTCTGAAAATGTCTTCACCAGGGCCTGGAACCCTAAAGGCTTACAGAGAAGGTCCCTGACCTCATGAGGCTTAGATGCCAGTGCAAAGTAGACAGTAAACCCACCACGTCGTTCAGCAAGACAGTGTCAGAGGGTGGTGGGTGACAAGAAGGAACTCAGCCCATGACCCGATGGGGACTGGTGGCTGCTTGTGAGCCACCGGTGAGGGCTCGCTCTCTGCTGAGTTTTTGTGGAGACTTGAATTATGCTGCATGAATGGTGCTTCAGGACTTGGTCGCCTCCAGTCTGGGGCAGAGCTCACCTCTTCTCCAGCTCAGGAACACACGGTGTCTTACGTGCTGGTGTTTCCTCACACTTTGTGACTGATGGGCTGGGTGGGCTCCATGCCACTCACGGGGACTTTGGCTCACTGCTCTACTGGCCGCTAGAGCAGCACTGGGCACGCCCAAGTGTTCACACGTGTGTTGAATGAATGGATGAATGAATGGAGTAACATCAGCACCTGAACCTGTCCATCGTTCTTCTCCCAATGGCTCCTCCCCAGGGAGCAAAATGGCAAGGAGGTTCCCCTGCCAGAGCCGGTCTCCTTCCTAGGGCTGCTCTTCCCTCTCGCCCCCAGCTAGGGAGACACGGAGTCCCGCTCCTTCTCTTTCTTATACTTGAGCACATGGGGTTGTGTGCTCATGGGAGCTCAATGTATCTCTTGCTATTCCAACAGCTTTCTTTTTTTTTTTTTTTTTTTTTAAAGATTTTATTTATTCAGGAGAGACGGAGGCAAAGACACAGGCAGAAGGAGAAGCAGGCTCCCTGTGGAGGGCCTGATACGGGCCTCGATTCCAGGACCCCAGGACCACACCCTGAGCCTAATGTAGCACTCAACCACTGAGCCACCCAGACACCCCTCCAACAGCTTAATTTTATTTTTTTTTAAAGATTTTATTTATTCACAAGAGACAGACAGAGGCAGAGAGAGAGAGGCAGGATCCCTACAGGAAGCCCAATGTGGGACTCGATCCTAGGACTCTGGGATCACGACCTGAGCCGAAGGCAGATGCTCAATCACGGAGACATCCAAGTGCCCCCCTCCAACAGCTTCTCAACAGGACTTCCTGCTTTAGGCCAGTGACACGTAAACGTGCAGGGGGGAGGGCATCCTAGGGTCTTGGGCCAAATAACATGATGTGGGCCCCCTTCCAGATAGTTCCATGGCCCAAGAGCTGCATGAAGCTCTAGGGGCATTGTGGCAGTTGGGGCAGGCTGGTGTCAGGCATCCAGGAGGTGCAGGTATGCGAGGGGCTCCAGCTGGGTGTTATTTTTGCAAGCACCTCACACTGTGCTTTCTCACCAGCAATCCAGCTGCTGGCTTCTGTGGCAGCTGCTCCCCACCCACCACCCCACGCCCACCGCTGCTGGCAGCTGCAGAGTAGCTCAGGGCCCTGTGAAGCGAGGACCCACAATCAGACCTCGAAGAGGCCAGGAGAGAACGGACAGACCGGCCTGGGGGTACTCCAGGCTTGGGGGCCTGGAGGGTTGGGAGGGTCGGGGGAGGGGGCGGGGCCCAGGGAGGAGTGGCGCCCTCCTACGTTCAGAGAGGAGAATAAAGCAATTATGTCTTACCAGCCACTTTGCATTAAAGAAGATTGATTTGTCCTTCTGATGTGTTGTTTCCATAGAAGCAGGGCTTAACCTTTTAAGTGAAGATTATAAAGCTACCTAATTCATTTAAAATTAGGCTTCAAGCCTATCAGTACTTAATGCTCAAGTGTTACAGTGGGACCGGCTCCTGCCATTCGTCTGACTGCCACGCAGAGACTGACTTTCTGTATTTGAAGACGCTCTTTCGGGTGGCAATCTAGTTTGTTTATTTTTAAAAATTAGCTTCCTGAGGAGATACGGCTTTCTGTGTAAGATCACCCGAGTATTAATAAATACCTTTTAATTAATGATTAGCACTGACTCCTCTTCATAAACACGGGAGGACTGGCACACAGGCACAGAACAGGCACGTTCAATTAAAGTAATTTATTGTGTTCTTCTGGAACGGACATAAAGAGCATCTTGGGAATTGATAGCACAACACAATGTTATACACCATTTCACAACTAGCCTTGTGTTGAAATTGTTTTAAAGAACATAGTCATTTTAAAAAATCTAAATATTTACATATTAATAAAACATATATACAGAAGATTGAGACATTATCCATAGATATGGAATACTTTTTTTTTTACTAAGAAAGCCTATAAAAAGGATTTCTGAATAAAGTCTGAACAGTAGTCACAGTAAACACAAATACAATTATAATGTACAAAATATGATTTCACTGTTGCAGTTCTGTGATATGTATTTCCAATTTGTGGATGCATTGCACGTACTCGTGAGTTGAGCAATCCCCACCCTTCCTCAAGTATTGAAAAATCCAAGCTGTCACCCAGTCTTGGAAGGAAGTGCTTTCGAAGGTTTGTGATGCATATTTAACAGATCTCGCAGTTGTAAGGTAAATATTTCTACCTTTTAGTAGCAACATACTCATCTTACTGTAATAGAGTTGAAAGGTCACTAATTAATCTTTTCCCTTCCCTTGAGAAATATTTCCTTCTCAGGGGCAGAAGACAAATTTTAAAACATACGTTGCAGAACAACAAAAGCCCTGGTTTGTAGGACTTCATCAGGCCGCCGGATGATGACCAATGGGACCAGTTTCAGGGAAGGGATTACTAACTGGCCTAAAAATGTAAAAGGCTAGTAACTATAGGATGTGATGGGAACACTTTCTCTGAACCTTCCCTGTAGCTTCAGAAATAAGACAAAAGATGCACAGATATGAGATGTAGCAGTCTAGCGGTTAGATTGATTCCACAAGCCACACCTAGAACCGGCTTTGTCACATTTCAGGGATGCCTATCTACTGTCTTCGGTTGATGAGCTGGTCTTCAGTGGAACACAGGATTGCCCCGGAGCTCCCCTCCCAGCTCAGGCTGAGACGTTCAGTGCGAGATGGCACAGGTACCTTGGACAGGGTGCCTCTACAAGAACTTTGAGCTCTAATCCTCCATGACTTGGTTAAAGTGCCAGGGAAGGGTGTGTAAAGGTCAGCACAACAGTATTTTCCCCCTCTGGTTTTGGCATTTCTACGGTCCCAATTTCTTTCCAGCCAATTTTTGGCCTTTGGGTCAAGTGCCCGAGATTTCATGGTAATTTGCTTTCTACAGTGAATAAGGGCTACGTGCAATGTTTCTAAGTAAAATGGTATTTTTAAGTTCACCATCTTTTTGGAGAAAGGAATCTGGAGGTAAATATTTCTGTAAAACAATACCCACATGGCAAGCTATCTCTTTAGTATAATCTCATATTTTCATATGTCGGTTTCATAGGAAGTGGAGGGCGAGTGTACTAGGAACCAAATAAAGTATATAATATTAAGTACGTTTGTGGCTGGTTGCCACACCATGCCAAAACCCTGGACCCCACAGTTTAAAACCATCTGTGGAAACAGTTGTTAGGTATCATATGGGTCACCGGTTACTTTGAGTTTCTCACCTTTTAATTATTTTGTCACTGGGTTGACACAATCTTTGTGAAAAGTTTTTCTTTCTCAAGAATTCGTAGATCCTTCGCACTTATTCAGTTACAAATGGCTATCTTTGGAGGAACTGATGTCACAAATGATTTTGTCTAATAGGACAGAGCTATCCTGTCTCCCACAACAACTTTTTCGTCTTCTAAGCCGCTGAAGGCCTAATTAATGCTGGCCTTCCCAACTGCTCCCTCAGTGCTGGAAAGAGCTATCCTCCTCTATACAGCATCTAAGCAGTGCACATTAAAATAAAAATGCTTCTAATCTCTGTAATGTTCACATTGAGCTTATGAAAAAAAAAAACAAAACTGCTTTTTAATGAACAATGAACGCAATGGTCATACGCTGGATTTTTAGAAGGTAATGAATGAGTCAACTCTAAAAACGATTTCTAAAGACCTCATACCAAACTGGAGGCTTGATGATCACATGTGACAAAGTCTATGAAAACTATTCAGATATGACAGGAAAGCTTCACAGAACACCCACACTTTGCAGTAACCTGAAACGCTACGTGGATCTCTGAGAGAATTCAAACAGCAGAGTTACATGTGCTAATGAACAATGTCACTACAAGGGGAGTCTAGGCAGTGAAATCTGGCTCTGTGTCTTCCGTGTTTCCTCTCCTGGTGTCAAATATATTACCTACAACAGAGACAAGACAATGAAGGGGGGCCACTTCTCTAGAAGAGAACTGCACACTTTTCTGGGACGGGGTTAGAAGCAAGTATGCTGGGTCGGTGGAGAACCTCGCTGATGAAGTATCTGTTTCGCATTTAAATCACTAATTTTTCGGCCAAGGCTTTAGTTGTGCTGAGTGAGCAATTTTGGCCACTGGAAATCTGTAATGATTATTTTTACAGGAAAGTCCATGACTGTGTGTTACTATTGGAGTTAGGTCCACATATTGTCCAGGAATAGAATATGGCTAAATAAAATACAGTTTACCTGTAAAAGAGAACATGATGCAGCTATTAAAATAATGTGTATGAAGACTTGTGGAAAGTGGAAAATGCTGGTTAGGTCAAAAAAAGAAAAAGAAAAAAAAACCCTTAGGAAACAAAATATTATGTATTTGACCTTCACTGTGTAAGTAAATAAAATAAATAGAAAAATCTGGGGGGGGGGGGAATACCCAGTAATAGTTGTCTCTGAGTGGTAACATTAATTTATAGTTTCTTCCTTTACTTTTGTTAATTGTTTAGAAGTTTGTAAAAGATTGCTGATGTATGACAAAAATGGCTAGGCCCCGGTGAGCTCTGTGCTACCTCCTTTCTAAATTTTAGAAAGCACTGTTTGATTTTACTTTCTCTGTCCTTTTTTTTTTCTACCCGGCACAGTGTTGCCCAGTCCTGGGTGGTTTCTCGGGGTTATCACAGTGCGCTGTCTGCACCCGCAGCTGCCTCACATGGGACCGGGGCTCCCCGAGGGTGGGCGTTTGTTCACAGAACCTGACAGTGCTGAATCCTGGGAGCTGCTCCAGCACGCTTACAGCTTACTGACAGGGTGGTGAGGGAAAAGAAATGAGGAAAATGTGTTCTTCCACTATAAAAGTGGCACACGTTGTGGTTAAAACCAGACAAGCAGAAGGTTGCTTCCATGTAGTGGACTGAGACACATATCCTTGGGCTGCTGCCTGCCTGTAACCCTGACTTGGTTGATTCTGGTTCATGGACACACTTAAAGGATTTACACCCTCTTCCTGCCCCTCCCCGGCACAGCAGAATTTGGAAGAAGGATAAAGACCTTCAAACGGTAATAAAGGGTGTTGCTCAATCTCTCAAAAGGAGCCACACGGTTGCCAGCTGAGATAAAAGAGATAAGGAAGGTCTGATGAGGGAGTCTCAAAGGCAGGGGTGAAGCGAGGTGTGCAGGAAAGGCACACTTCCCCTCTGGGGCGGTGTCCTGGGGCCCACTCGGGGAGGGAGGGTTGGTGTAGTGCTGTCTTCACAGATGCCGCCCCGACCCCAGATTTTACTTTAGAGGCAATTGAGACTTGCTAGTAGTCTAACCAAGACAATCTCATTTCAACACTGTGAAATTTAAGCACCAATCTGCCAACTTCTTTACCCCTTTGCTACAGGATCAACAGTATTATCTGTCGTGCTCTTTAGTGTGGGTAGTCTAGTGAAGACACCTGCAGGGTGGCCTACCACTACTGTCTCTGGCAGGACCTTGCGGCCTTGGGCAAGGTTTGAGAGAGGACTCCCAATGAGTGAGTTTCAACTGCAGAGGACTTCACGCAGACTTACAACAGGCATTCTAATTGTGAAGACACACGGTGGAATGGAATCCTAAAGGGATTAGTACATCCATCGACTCTTAGGGTCTTTTAAGAAACATGCAGAGGAAAGCTGGCTTTGGCTTAGATGTGAGAAAGCTATGCGGTATAAAGGCTGGAAGTTGAGAGGCCGGGGCTCTGGCTGGGCCACCAACCAGCTGTGAGACCTTGAGAAAGTCATTTAGTGTTTCTGGGCCTCAGGCTTTTTTACCTGTAAAATAAAAGGACTGGATAAAAAGAAGGGAAGGGACTAGATGATCTCTAACGTTCCTTCTTTTCTCAGATTCCTTGAAATTCTTTAGTTCCATGAGATGGTTCTATCAGCCTGTGTTCAACTCCCTCATCTGAAGCATCTCTCTGCCTCCATCTTCAGACAGGAAAATGCAAAGGTATCATTTCAAGGGGAATGTTTTTCAAATAAGGATAGCAGTACTGCTAATAATTATAAAGCCCAAAGCGTGTGGATGACCGTGAGGAAGGGGGCAGCTCATGGACCCCAGGGCAGCAAAGGCAGGGAGGAAAGCTGGAAGGCACAACCAAACAGCTGGGATTCTTCCAAACTGCCTCCTGAAATGCGCCATTTCATTACTGGTAGTAATATTTCATGCGTCTACTGGGAGTGGGCCAGGTGTGATAAGAACAAGGCTAATAGGAGTCGTCATGATGGACAAGGACAAGATGGGAAGGAACAGTAGAGATCATGCATTTCAATTATCTTAATTCATAAATGTGGAAACATAGACAAACAAGCATAGAACTCCCTCTCCTATAATGGCTGTACGCAGGAAGAACTTGATGTAAGCGGGCTGTTTTCGCGCTATGCGCCTCAGTTCATTTATTTGACCATCGATCTGTTGCCTAGCTACGTGGTGACCGGGAAAGCCCGTGCATCACTTACATGGGTGAGCTTTCTTGCGGTCCTGACCTGCGTCTATCCTACACCTGCAAACTCTGCTTTCCTTGCCATCCCTGGACAGGCGCTACCAGTGAATACCTGACCTGGAGGAGCTCCTACAAAGATCAGCTCCTCTTCTATTTGCCAGGGTTTTTTTTTTTTTTTAAAGATTTTATTTATTTATTCATGAGATACGAGAGAGAGAGAGAGAGAGAGAGAGAGAGAGAGAGAGAGAGAGAGAGAGAGAGAGAGGCAGAGGCAGAGACACAGGCAGAGGGAGAAGCAGGCTCCATGCAGGGAGCCCGACATGGGACTTGATCCCAGGACTCCAGGATCACGCCCTGGGCTGAAAGCGGTGCTAAACCGCTGAGCCACCCGGGCTGCCCTATTTGCGAGATTTTATGGAAAAACTTATCATCCCTACATCTGGAGTTGAGCTTTTTTCACTTAGAGGTTTTTTTTGGGGGGGGAGGTGTCTGAGGTTTGTGGGCAGAGAAGTCTCCAGGTAGTCTTTTGAGGGTGGTCATTAAAGAGTCCTGATCATCACATGGCTCAGGGATCGGACCCTGTCCCTGGGGCTCTCGGGTAGGAAACAACAGAGGCAGGAGGCCAAGGTCAGAGTCAAATACTACGAAGTCGGATGGCGGTCTGTGGCTTCGCACTGCAGCAGATGTTGCAGTGAAACGCTCTACTCGGCTGATCTGTTTCTAGGATGGGGAATGTGCACCCAGGCTAGAGGGACAGGCTTACTCTGTCACTCAGTTTTCACTGGGTGCCTGTTAAAGGAGGAGCAGTGACCTCCTGCCTCTCAAAACCCTTTCGGGAGAGACGGATGAGGACAGAATGTATGTCAATTTTTTCAAAAACCTGGTGGTCCTTTTTCTAGGAAGAAATATCATTTCATGTTAAAGTACTTTTAAGGTCTACGGGTTTTGGGAAGCATGATGTTGTGACACTAAGTTCTTAGGACTTGCTGCTCTGAGGCTCTTGAGGATATGAGACCATGTGAGAAAAATGGAGCTTTTCATACTCCATGTAAAAATATCTCTGAACACAGGGCCCTGAGAACCTCTGATTACAAGGGTCTGGGCCAGAAGCCATTTGCTCAAGCGTCTGCGTCTCTGACGTTTCAAACATTTTCAATGCAAATATTTTCATGCGCTGTATTTTCCAGCGGGTGATGAAAAGGTAAATGTGTTTTACCTGTTGGTGGTAGAGAAATGCTGTCCAGTCTTTCATCACCGTCAGCTACCTCTGCTGGTTACAAACATAAAACACAAATCTCATTAGTTTCAGGGAGCACATTCATTTCCCTGAATACAGTAATGCAATTTAAAAACTCCAGTAATGCATAATAGTTTCAACTTTCTTCCTCGTTGGTTCATGGTACAGATTTTAGTACCATTAGTTAAAGTATTTTTTTAAGATAATGATATAAAATCTTTTTTCCTGCATTAAGTTTTTTGGAGGTCTCTTATGAACCTTATTCTATCAATCGTTGATGATCTTAGTTCATTTTCCCTTGTTTGCATAGGCTTAAATATCCACCCAGAATCTGGGGGGTATTGTTTGAATATGATCATCGAAGGACAGACTTCGATGGACAGAATATGATCATCGAAGGACAGAATCCCTGTGGTAGAATTTTCCCTTGTCATCCCCAGAACCATCCCCGTGGGGGAGGCTTAGGAAATCCTGAGAACCGGCCTTTCTTTGGAGATGACTGAAATTCAGATCCTAGAGCTGCCTGTCTGAAATCGGCATCAATTCAGTCATAAAGGAAATCAGAAGGAGTAAGTGTATCTTCAAAAGATTCGTCTCTGTTTCAAAGTGCAAACCTTTGCTCACGCCTGATATGTTTTAATCTCCTTAAGGGTTTTGCAAAGGTAGGTCCTTCAGTCACAGAAAACCCTCCATTAAATACAAAAAAAGAAAGTGCTCGCATGTCTCCCGATAACTGATGGGCTTGCCACTCTCCCCAGCATGCTGGGAACAGGTCACCACGTTTCATCACGGCCACTTGGATAATTTCGCCTGTTGTTCCCTGGGCCCCGGGGCTAGTTCCCTCTCCCAGCCACCCTCCTGCTGCCTGCATCCGGGTGCGTGGGGCTGGTCCCACGGGGGCTGCCACGTGCCATCATCACGTTGTAATGCTGAGCCGGTGGGAAGCAAAAGTAATGCTGCACTCCTGTGTTTATTGCTGAGGCTTTCAACACAATCGGGGGCCGATAGGGCTAGAAACATTCAAAGACTTTCACTCTGGCTCATCCCCTAACACCTTGTCCTCAGATCGCTACACACTGGCGCTGGTGAAAGACCCATTGTCTGCTGACCTGCTGAATCCACCAGAGAGAAAATGCTGAGAGGAGACACAGTAGTTAAGACCAGTTTGGGGCAGAGAAGAATTTCTGCTCCTCTTCTCTAAAATGATGTTGTAGGTGAATATTTAATAACGAAACATTTGATTCAAGCGATAGGAAAAATGGTAAGATTAAAAATGTTAACATAGGCTTATAGACAAAATACAGGACATACTAAAATGCAAAGTGTTCCTCTCTGGATGAAAGGCTTATAGGCATTTAAACTTTTGTTCTTTGGGTTGTTTTTTTTTTTTTTTTAAAGATTTTATTTATTCGTGAGAGACACACAGAGAGAAGCAGACACATAGGCAGAGGGAGAAGCAGGCTCCCTGCAGGGAGCCTGATGTAGGACTGGATCCCAGGACCTGAGGATCATGCCCTGGGCCAAAGGTGGACGCTCAACCACTGAGCCACCCAGGTGTCCTTGTTCTTTGGGTTTTAAAAATTATTCTATATACTTAGAAAATAATGGGGGGGGGGGCGCGCATGGGTGGCTCATTTGGTGAAGTGTCTGCCTTCTGCTCAGGTCGTGATCTCAGGGTCCTGGGATCAAGTTCTACAGCAGGCGCCCTGCCCAGCAGGGAGTCTGCTTCTCTCTCACTCTCTGCTCCTCCCTCCCAGCTCGTGCTTGCTCTCTCTCAAATAAAAATCTTCAACTAATGAACAAATGTTATTTTTATGAAAGAAGACACTATTTTCTTCTAAATGGTCTGAGTGAATTTGAGGAGGGAGATGAACTATGTGGTAGTCCTTTCATTGTCTAGGATTTTAAAAAATTTTTAAAAAATTTTCAACATTATTAGCAATGAAAGCCACCACCATTTATTAACTATTTACCATTTACTGAGCACTTTACATATATCATCTAACTCTTAGAAAACCCTACAAGGTAGGGCTATTATTCTGGTCATTTTAACAAATGAAACCACCGAGACAGAGGTTAAGAGACTGAGGGAATATGGGGTGCCTGGCTGGCTCAGGAAGAGGGTATGGCTCTTGATCTTGGGGTTGTGGGTTCGAGCCCCATGCTGGGTGTAGAGATTGCTAGATAATATAACAAAACTTAAAAAAAAAGAGATTAAGGGAATGCAGCTAGTAAGTGACACTGTAAAGGCTGTGAGTCAGGTGCAAACCTGGGCTCTTAATCTCTTTGCTATGAATAGTCCAGATGTATTTCTCATGGTATCACTGTGAGCTAATTTTTAAAATCTTCTAGTTCATTGTATACTTCAGTCACTTTCCCTACATAAATACTTTCTCTTTAGTTATAACAAAACCCTTCCCTTTTTAATTTAGCCATTCTCACTTTTAAAAACCAGGCCTATACAATCCTGTGCTATAGTAAAAACAGAATGTTCACATCTGAAAAATATACAAATTATTGGATGCAAATGTGTGTGCTGGCTGCAGGAGCAGGACCAAGCGTCACGGGTGAAGAACACGGCTGTGCTCCTTAAATTTAATTATAACATCTGTCTGTAACAACGAGCTCCTAGTCCTTCTCAGGTGACAGTCAAGTTGTGAAATTTAGAAAAGATTGAGCAAGTCCAATAAAAATTTAATAGCAGTGACAGCTTTGCTCTTGGATCTCCCACAAATAAAAAACTGTGGTTTCAGCTCTGAGGAAATAGCCTAATGAAAATGATTAAAAATCCACACTAGCAAAGGAATCATTCCAGTTACAGGAGAAAATTATTACATGTGATGAGAGTCCCCAGATGAATTTCTATGTGGATTCGCATAACCACCTTTCAGATCTGTGTGGGGCACTTCTCTTTCCTAGAGGCAGGGTGGGCTTCCGTAAGCAGCGAGCTGACTGGCTTGCGCAGTGGGGTCTGTACCTAATTCCAGGAATTGCACCAAATATGATAAATAAGGTTGAAGTTGTAGAATGTCTACGAGATGCTGTTTGTATTATTGTCTGGACTGGGAATACTCAAGACGAAAAAACGTGAGTGGGAGCAACGTTATTGACCCAGGCCACTCAGTTCCCATCAGCCTCAGGAAGGAAAGGCAAGTGGCTCTAGTGTCTATCTGCTAGGGTCCCACTTTGGTGCTGCTTAAGGAGAATGCGGCGAAAAGAGCATTTGACAAAACTGGAAGATAAAACCTTTCTGGCAGGTCACCGCTGATGCGCTGTCCTTTGGTCTAGTTTGGTTTGCAGGTCAGGGCTAGTTTTGTCCTCAAGCCATCTTCCCCCTTTCAGACGCAGGAACGAACCTGCCAGGAAGGCAGAGAAGTGCCCAAGGCGCCAATCACAAATATCTAGGCGGACCATATAAGCCCAGTGGTTAGATGTGAAAACACCCTAAATCAAATATGATGATGACTCTGGAACCGGGCAGCCAACATCCTGAGCTCGTGAGAGGCTCCCACAGGAGGGGAAGGGTAAGGGAGTGGCCTACACTTTGGATCCCACACTGCAGAAATGGGCAGGTGGGTGTGAACCAGGTGCGTCAGATGAATTACTAACACAAACGCTGGGACGGTTAAGAAGGGGTTTACTGGCCAGTCTGCGGGAAATCCAACCAGTAATGTGGAGGGAAGTCCCCACTGTGTGCATGTGTATTCTTTGGGGCGGGGGGGGGGGGGGAAGCAGGGAAGGGATTGGAGACCAGAACTCATAGTAATTGGTCTCAGCATCTGGCACTAGGGAAAAAAAAAAAGAGGTGTGCTTATGTATAAAAGATATGGTATGAGAAAATAAAAATTATCTTTTATTTATCAAACATAAATTTATATGAAGATCAACTTTTCCAACCAGCTTACAAATGGATTTCCCATCTTCCTCATTAAAAAATGAATGGTATGGAAACAATACGCTGAAGATGTTTCCACACTACCTTACAACAAAGAGACACAACTTAAACCAAATTTCCTATTTTAGTCATGCATCCCGCTTTCAGTGTTGGAAACACAATTCAACTGAGTAAATGCGAAGATCTAGTTGGCTTTGAAGTGATTCAGGAACCAGGCAGCGTCCCATCCAGCAAATAGAGGGGAGCTCCAAAGGGCTCCAGCAAAGTGTTAAGGTTTTAAGAGACAGGACGGGGAAGTCATAAACAGGAAAAAGCAGAATTGTGGGAAAGGCCACCTTCCCTTGGGGACAAGAGGGTCTTATTAGGTGGATTGCCTCCTCTTGCTCTGGGAGATGGAGAGGGTCCCGGCCAGAAAACTGCTGACTGATCAGTTAAGACTACGTTCCTGGGGGAGGCTGAAAGTACCATCAGATGAGGTACTGAGCCTGCTTGGTGATGTGGCCCGAGCACGAGAGACTCCACTTTGGGCCTGTGGTTCTCCTTTTAACACCAGCAAGGCTGTTTCTGTGTCTCTGAAAATAGCCTTCCACAACACACTCGATATATACTCAATACTCTACTTTTCATGTCTTCTACCTTCAAGGGTTTCTCTTCAAACTTAAACTTTTCAAGTCCCCCTGGGACTTGTAATCATTCTCCTCAAGCCAGAGGTGCATGTTCTGTAGCATGAAGCTGTCGTCTTCCTTCCACTGAGTTGTCTCTGCAGCTCCTGGATAAGTAGCGTCGGTACTCTGGATTTATACAGCTCTTGCCCCTCAAATTCCAAAGTTGCTCGGAGTAGTTCCCATATTTTCCCTTTCTGCCCCCGCCCCTCAGGAAGCAGGCAGCTTCTGTGGATTGTAGGCAGAGGGAGTGAAGTGCTAACCAACCTCCGGCCTAGAAGCTGGGGGCATCCTCGGGACCAAAGGGAAGCCAAGTTGCCGGTTCTTGGGGTACTCTGGCCTTTCGTTCTCTTCTGGGCTTATGGAGCATTAAAGTCAGGTCGGTCTCCCCTGCGGCAGATGTCAGAGTTCTCTCAGGCCTGACTATTCTACTTAGTGTCTTTGATCTGGGGGAGCTTGAACAATTTCCCCAATAGGTAAATAGAGTCCTGACATACCCAAACAGGTCAGACCACCAAGGCAGGACCAACCTAATACTTACTAACAAAAACACCATTCAGGCTTTAATAAGTGAAATCTGCTCTGGGAAATGAAACTGAGGAGACACGGCGCCCCACGTGGCATCAGTGTTCAGTAAGGGGTTATTTGCTGTGGACTCTATTGGGCAGTTGTCTTTTGATAACACCCGTCATTCAATTGTAAAAAAAAAAAACAAAAAAACAACTTTCCCTCCTCAGCTCTTTCCTGGAGCCTGACGTCTAAGGAGGCTGAGGTAATGAAAGGCGGCCTTTGTGAGGCCAGTCAGGCTGAGGCAGGAGACCTGTAGCCTAAGGAGGGGTGAGACACCCACCAGCCAGGAGTTAATCTTCCTCAGTGTTACTCAGTTAATCTACCTGAAGAGGGTGAGGTCACTGGGACTCCAGACTCACAGCCTATGTGGGAGGAAGGGAGACGAGGGGAAACGGAGGGGACTAAGGATGTAGGGGGCTGAGAAGGAAATGAGAGCCCCTCATTCCCAGGGACAGAGCTCAGGGATGCTGCCCCCTGGGTTCTGGGGGTCATGGAATGAGTACTTGAATGCTAAGTAAGGAACTGGTGGGAGAGTCTCCGGGGTCTCACATGACCAGGATCAGCTAAACAGTAAGACCTCTTCACTGTGGGTTATTGTCTCCTTTCCACTGACTGATCTGCTGGCTCACTCAACGAATATTCTCGCATGTCCACCACGTGCCACACACTTGGGATCGAAACACACTGCAGATGCAGACTCTGCTCCTGAAGATCTCATGGTCAGTGGGGGAGACACAGGAGTGCCATTATTCTGGGGGCAGAAGACCAAAGGGCCAGGGCCACCTCTGAAGGCTCCAGGAGGAAGTAACCTTTAAGATCTGTGACGAGGGGGCAGCCCCGGTGGCGCAGCGGTTTAGCGCCGCCTGCAGCCCAGGGTGTGATCCTGGAGACCGGGGATTGAGTCCCATATCGGGCTCCTTGCATGGAGCCTGCTTCTCCCTCTGCCTGTGTCTCTGCCTCTCTTTCTCTGTGTTTCTCATGAATAAATAAATAAATATTTTAAAAAAAAAAATCTGTGACGAGGGATCTTTGGGAGGCGTAGAGGTTTAGCGCCTGCCTTTGGCCCAGCGCGCGATCCTGGAGACCCGGGATCGAATCCTACATCGGGCTCCCGGTGCATGGAGCCTGCTTCTCCCTCTGCCTGTGTCTCTGCCTCTCTCTCTTTCTCTGTGACTATCATCAATAAATAAAAATTAAAAAAAAAATCTGTGACGAGAGGAGGTGCCGCCTCCCAGGCAGAGGGAAAGCATGTGTGTGAGAGCCCAGCACGTTTCAGGACAGGAGGGTGTCTGATGAGGCTCGATGCACAGGCCTAAGACTGGAGTAGGAGTAGGTGACTAGGATGGGCCATCTGTCAAGGGCCCTGGGTCCATGCTGAAGGGGCTTGTAGAAAGGATGGTATTTGGGGAAGACAGGAAGCTGGCGAAGTCTCTCATCAGGAGTGGGACATGATCAGATCTAATTCTCAGAGAATGAAGTCTAGGGTCTCAGGTACGGCCACATCTGGAGCTGCACACTGATGGGCCATCGATGGTCGGACAGTTCAGGTCCTGGGTGAGGCTGGAGAATAACAACAGCACCAAGAATGGAAAGCCAGCCACTGAGTTTCAGAGGCGGGCCCAGGAGGCAGCGGGAGACTTGGGAGGACAAGCAGACAGGGAAGCCCCAGAGCCCAAGGGAAGAGATCCCATGGAGTCAAAATCCACAAGCAGGTCAAGTAGAGTGTTAATGTCAACAGGAATCTGATCATCCGGGGGATACAGCAGGAGCTCCTGCCCTGGCGTGGGGCCACAGGGCAAAAGGCAACGGGTTCTGAAGTGGACAGGACGGGAAGCCAACCAAGGCAACGCAACCCCTTTGGGAGGAAGTCCGACCAACACCGTCCAGGAGAAAGAGCCAGCAGTGGTTTTAAGAACCAGCACGGATGGAGAAATAGCTGTGCTTTGTTCAGGGCTGGCAGAGAGAAGGAAGATAAAGGCATGACGCATCGGTTCTGTGAGTGGCAATACTGACACCGGCTGATTCTAACTCTGAAAACAGCCCTGAGGCAGGTATTAGCCTTGCTCTATAAATGGAGAGCCCGAGGCTCCTCGAAGGTCCCAGGAATTTGTAATCGGCAGATGGGAGCCAGAAGGTGAGGCCCATTCTTCCCAGCGCACCCCACTGTGTTCACGTGCAGTCACGGTCATTGGTATATGGAGAGAATGGAGGCAGAGAGATCGGAGAGACCCAGGGGCCGGGCAAGCAAATGATCTATTTATTATCCAAGCCTGAAAACCCTTCGCAGGCGAAGAGGGTGAGAGTTGTGCTAGGACAACAGGAGCAGAGGGCCCACGGGGCACGGTGGGCTGTGTGGGCCCTGACCCAGGACACAGGCTATGCTTCCTCGGCTGCACAGACGTTTTCATAAGGCACACCAGGTTCATTTATGAAGACACCTACGTATGACACAGGTCTGGAACCTCACAACAACCAGGACACAGGCTTTATCTTCCTGACCGCTTTGTGACACAGACACTGGGGACTGACTGGCCCAAGGGCCAGGGCTGGGGAAGAGCAGAGGAGAGACCTGAAGGCCAGGCCTTCTGGGCTCCACAACGACTTACTGCCCAAAGCAACAATACGTTTCTACCAACGACAGATGGCCAGACAGCCGTGGCCCACTGCTCTTTATAAAGAGTATCAATTAGGGCAGCCCCGGTGGCACGGCGGTTTAGCGCTGCCTGCAGCCCAGGATGTGGTCCTGGAGACTGGGGATCAGGTCCCACATCGGGTTCCCTGCATGGAGCCTGCTTCTCTCTCTGCCTGTGTGTCTGCCTCTCTCGCTCTCTGTGTTTCTCATGAATAAATAAATAAATCTTAAAAAAAAAAAGTATCAATTAGTATTAAAGGAAGCAAATGGAAAAAAAAAGGAAGATTTTAATTAAAAAAAAATTATCTAGTGCTAAATATTTTAGAGTCCTGATAGCTGCTTTACAGAAGAGGACCGGAGATGCACTGGGTCCCTTGCTCCCTGGTCTCGGGTATGGAGGCACTTCCCCAGCCCGTGCGGGGAGCTCTCCTCACTGGGGGCGGGGGTCCACCAGCTGATTCAGGCTCCTCACTGTGCCCAGGACACTGAGTTCACACAAGGGATGAGTCAGAGACCCAGGCCTGCGCGTGTGCGCTGCTGTCCTCCAGGCCTCCACACCAGCCCGCTGTGCCACGGTCAAGTCAGCCTCTGGAGCCCGTCTCTGAAACCTACGCTCTGCAGCTATGGAAGCACGTAGGCTCTTGGCAGACCAGGCATCCTGAGGTTTGATTGGAATTGTTTGTTTGCTTAAAAAAATGTCTGGAGGTTTGTGGCCTCCTAGAGATGATTATTCTTACATGATGACAGAAAACGGACTTCAGAGGAATTCCTTACTGGTAAATAGACCAACTGGCGTTGAGACCCCAAATGACCAAATCTAAATAGTCATAATTCAACTGGTATTCACTTACCTTGGTAACATCATCTCCGAACCACCAGAGCCAGATTTGAATAATATCTATGTGACTTCAAATCCCTTTGTCTATTCTATGCAGTTTTTCTGGTGGGAGGATTATTACTATTTATCTTTTTTTACCTCAAGCCACTGGTACTTTTTATAAAGTCATGCTGATCCAAACACACAAAAACCATTAGCAAATAGAAGCAGATCACAAAAGAGAGGTCCAGCTTTGCAGGTAAGATGCACAAGGCCACAAATGAGATTAGCAATCTTCTTTGTTTGTACTAGTAAGAATAAATGACCTGATGTAATTTTTACTACTTAATCTTCAGGTGAATTTCAAAACTCACTTGAGTAAGACTTTAAAATGCAAAACCACCGCACATTCTATAGAGCTTTTCCTTCAAAAGACAAAACAGTGAAGTGCCGTAGAGCAGAGAACTGTACTTTGTGACGTCTAAGAACTCAGTAAAGGGCTTCTCGTGATTATTTTCCTGCAGCTTATTCATACCTGAGCCTCTTTTTAACCTTCTTCTGGCCAGTTTGATCTGATCCTGTAGAATCTGTACCCAGTCTCTTGGGCCAGGAAGTTTATCCACATGGTTAGCAGTACAGTATTTTTCTGTGAAGACTGAAAGAGAATGTGAAATATTGTTAAGTACTTTAACAAATAAAGCATGCAGATCTGAAATAGGAATCTATCCTAAGAAGAAAAAAAAAGTGTATTTCTATAAGGCCGTAAGTTCCGCAGTGGGAACTTCAATGTCTTCAGTGTCTATACTACGTTCCTTGGGTAAAGATGGAGATTGGCAGGACCCAATCTCCCAGCTTACATACAGCGTATGGTGCTTCAAAATCCAACTGGCTATACAAAATAAGTAGTTCTGATGTAACCACTCTATTTGTTCTACATGCATGTATACATGTCTTATATGGGCAGAGGAGAATATGTTACCTATGGGACCACTGGCACCATGACAAAATTCAGCAAATGGATCGTTACTGTTGTTAAATCTGATCTCAGGCAAGATCACACAAAATGTAATGCAAGATTACACAAAAGGATGGCATTCTCATGGTGTTTCCCACTAACTCAATCAGCACTCAAATAATAATGCAGCTGTATCTTAATGCAAGTCCTGGTTGTACTTTGTCAGCCTCTGGTGTGCTGGGCTAGCACCTAGGAGAGCACCCAGCGAACTGTGGGGAGCGTTGCGGCAGGACAAGAGGGAGACAAGACGGTGGCCTTCTGAAAGCCACACAGCCATCCGCACGCTGCTGCGGACATTTGGGCTTCCCTCCACTTTGGAGCACTTTCACACCCCATCTGTGCAACCTGCTCTCCGTAAGGACAAGGCGTAGCATGCGGTCACCTCACGCTGCCTTCTTGGTATTTAAAATACTGGCAGTTTTAATGTTTTAAAGGTTTCTGTTAAAAAGAAATGACAAGGGAAAATGTTGACAGATTCAGCCGTACAAAACTGTAAAATTTCTATTGAATGAAAAAGGAACATCTCATCAGAATAAGAAAAGCTGGCTGTGCTCAATATGACTGAAATGGTTCAATAACTACCACCACAAAAAAAAAAAAGTTCAAATACAAGTGAAACTTCAAAAGTCTCCATAGATAAATAGACAAAGTGTATGTAGGAAAAACGGTCAGCTAATATATAAACCAAAGAATTGCAAAACACACTCTATGGCTACTAAATTAGAAAAACAATGTTAGAAAGCTAATCCTTAATACTGATAAGCTCGTGGGGACCTGGCACATTCAAACACTACCATTGGCATAAATGGCAAAACCCTTTTGGGGAATAAGGTGGTAAAATATGATGAGAGGCTTTTAAAACCTAATACCTGTGGCCTGAGCCTCTCACTCCCCGAAACTTATCCTAGGGAAATGATCTGAAAGGAGGAGGAAGGCCACATACAGAGGCAGTGGATCCAGTTGTGCAGGAAGCGATGGCCAGCAGCAGTGGGGAGGCTGGTTGTGAAGGGAGTGGGAGCTGGGGTGTCCCTGGAGGAAGCCACTGAGATCCTCTGAGTCAGGGCAGCGTGAGTGAAGGGGGCGGGGGTGACCAGACCACCAGACCGGTATCTAGAACTGGCATTTTTGGTGAATCCTATGACCTGGTAAACATGGGAGAAAGGGAACATTTGAGGGGAAAGGTGGGCTGTACTGGGTTTGGTTGGGGACATGCTGATCTGGGGTGTTTGTAAAAGCACCCCTGTGGGGACCACTGGCAGATATTTCGGCACAGAAACCTGTAGTTCAGGGAAGGGATCCAGGGAGAAGATCTGGGCCTGAGAGGTACATACCTATACGTGGTAGTCAGAACAGCAAGAAAAAAATGTTGGGCAATGAGAACATATGGGATGAACAGAGCACTGGGCCAGGCATGGAGCCAGAGGGAGCCCCAGCCAAAAGGAAAGGTGTGCACAGGATGGATGAAATCAGGAGACCTGGGAAGTGTGGTCTCGTAAAGACCAGTGAGTGGCACTAATGAAAAGAAAGGACAACAGTCTACTACGAGCAGAAGAGAGCGTCAGGCACACAGTTTGCAAAGTGTCACCCGGAGGTCCTCAAGGGAGTGGTGGGGTGGCCACAGAGGACATTCCCCAAAAACCGCATTCAGTGGGGTAAGGAAGAAAAGAGGGGTAAGATGGCAAGCTAGAGAGACATGAGCATGGTTTACAGGCTGAGGGAAGCAGCCAGCATTCTGAGGCAGGCAGGATCCAGGAGAAGGAGGGAAACAGTTACAGGAACCTCACCAGAGGGAGGTGGTGGGGTCTGGAAATGGGGGCTGCCCTTGAACAGGACCAAGACTTCCCCCTCTGAGCCCTGACAGAATGGGAGACAGGGTGGGTTTAGAAGGGGTCTATGTTGGAGCAATTGCCCCTAAGACCTCGGTGACCCAGTGGCCAGGGGTATAGAGAACATGGAAAAGATCTGGAATTGCTTCTAAGAGGAATAGGAAAGCAGCAGACGTTGGATGTGAGGCTGCTGAGCAGAAAAGACGCCTACATGCTTGTGGTGGCAACAGTCCTGCGGCACCCTGCAGCTCTGAGCTGGGAGTGGCGCCACTGGATGGTAGGCCTGGTCCAGGTTAGGATTCTGCTGGATGGTTCTGGCAGAAGGTCAGGGACATAAAGCACTTGCAGATGCCAGCTGGACTTAATTACCTCTGCTTTCTTCACTCCCCTTCTCCCTACCCACATATGGAAGGAAAGCAAAAGGCTCCTGTACTTGAAAAAAAAATCCATGGGGATCAGGGAATGGAGTATCAGTGGGGTTGGCAAGGATGTGCCATAGAGTAAGGGCAATTGAGAATATCACCCTGGAGTATAAAGCATCAGCGGTGGAGCCGTTCCATATGAGCATGCTAAGGCATGGTCACTGCGGATGAGGTCTGGACACGATGTGGCAAGGGGGTCAGGTGGATTTTTTGTGAGGACAGTGAAGTCACTCAAGGGGCCAGCAGAGGGAGAGGAAGGTGTGTAGCTGTGATAAGAGCCTTGATGGAAAGGGTCCACCCCAGCACCAGCCGAGCAGAGGAAGGGCGAGGACTAGGAAGCATAAGTCCTTACTTATGGGGACTTATGGGGAGAACTCAACCAGGCTTCCCAGTATGTGGCCTGTGGGCTGGGCAAGTAGGTGGTCTCTATGCGGAAGGGATGCAGACAGAGTGATATTCCTGGGCGTAGGTGTGCTCTTGAGTCCCCTACGTCAGATCACAGACCTCTTCAAGGGTCTTCATTTATCTTGTCTCCCTCAAAGCACCAACCACAGTGCCCTGTACTGAACAAGAAGTCAAAAATATTTAACAGACACGGGTTTGTTTCTAATGGCAGCAGGTATAATAGCTCATGAATTTAGGAAGTTTTAATTCATGGAATATAAAGAAACAAGTCTGTATTACATCCAAATGCCTACAGTAACATTTCCTAAGCAGAGAATTGCCAAAAGGTTCTCGAAGACCCATTTTTAACAAAGAGAAGAAAATAACTGTATTTAGCGCAGTTTATATGAAAATGTGTACCACAAAAATGACGGAATGTATCATCTTACCAGGAAAACATCTCCCTCCCTGTAATATTATTTGTATAATTAATTTCCACAGCAACCCCTCTTAAGATTATGAAATGCGTGTGTCCAAATTAGCACACACTAGAAAGTAGTGGTTCCGAATTACAAAGTCGATGTGGGTTATGCTAACATCAAAAGGACTCCCGGCAACCAAGCATGTCAATGACCAAGCATAGGAGAGCCAGAGGGAAGGCTCTGGAATGTCTTCTCCCAGTCGGTGAGGGACTTCCAAGCAGATCCTTCTAATCTAACCTTGGGCTTAAATATTTTCTCACCCACTAAAAAGGTGATGGTTTCTGGTTATTTATTTTCTCCTTTCAGTTACGATTTATCCGTTTACAATTAAGAAGAAGCCGGGGAAATCTCTGTCTTCTGGGTCTGTGTCTGAGACCTTTGAAGGAACAGCATTAGGCTTCTCGAAAAATACCTGTACCACCAAATATTTCCACTGGGTGTATTACTGAAGTTCTATTTCATGGATTACATTCTAACTTAAAAGAGACTTTTAACTTGGATCTATCTACTGAAGAGGAAATCCTCTTCTCTGTGACACGCGCAGATGAGGCCTTAGAACAAGGCCAAAAGATTGTCATTGTATTGATCCGAAAATGCTCAATATGCTATGTGAATAGAGGTATTGAGTAAGCAGAATATATTTTGCCGTCTGAATCTATAGCTAAAGGTCAAGCTATTATCCTGGTAACAGTTCCATTAGGAGTAATGATGTGAAAAGAGGCACTGCATTAATGCACTGGGTTTCCTACTATGTTAATGGTGGGTCATTAAGAATCATAGAACAATTTGCATTCATCCTTTGAAAGCAATAGGTACTAGAAAGAAATTTCCCTCTTTTTTTCTATTTTCGTATATTAAGGAGAAGCAAGGACTAATTTTAAACAAGTCCAAATAATCTGAGCAAGCGGATTAAAGGCAACAATTAAGCTATATAAAAGAGTTAAGGCATCTCTTGTGCTTAATATAATTTGAGGTCCCAAGGTACAAAGAGTATGTTAAGTCACCAGGGAAATGACAAATGTTCAATTTGATCTGTACATGAATCATGACTTTTCTCATATGCTTGTGTTCATTTGAACCATGCCCTTTAATTGTATATAAATAATGAATAAGCTGGAGGTGGCTGAGCAGAGCCTTCCCTGAGAAGTGCAGCATCTAATGTAATCATCAATGAGCAGGGGGCGTATAGTGTGTCTGAATGTGACACGCTGAGAACACGGGAATGGCCGTGCTCCCCAAACGGCTGTTCACACAGTGGTTTCTAGAGGGCCCTTCATTTGGATTTTTTTCTGGCTCCCTATGCTGGGAAAGGCAAAATATGGGGTGGATTGTTAGAGGAAGTCACTGGATCACACAGACACTTTGAGAATCAGGGGGAGATCTGCAGAGCTTTGGTTTTTCCATGGCACCTGCAGAGAAGGCTACGGCTGACCAGCGGAGAGCTCCACTTCTGATCTCGTGGAGCCCCACTTCTGATCTCGTGGTGCCGTTTTAAGTTAGGGTCAAACAGACACGTAGAAATCAAG